GCGTTTGCTTGGAACCACTACCCATACACAGTGAACCACCAAGAGGAGAGCCGGCCTGAGAAACATTTGAGGAGCTCAGGTATGTGTGGCTTTGGGGTGGGGGCAGTGTTGTGGTCTGGTTGGACCAAGTTTGCAATTGTCAGTTGGGGTGTGGTGGTGATCTTCACTGGTGCTGTGTGCAGGGAGTGTTTGGAAACTGTGAATTAAGTGTTTTGTTGCAGATGGGCCTTAAAGGGCTGAATGGATTGGAGGCAAGGCTTTGAGACGGCTCTCCTTTTTAGAGCCACCAACCATACAGCTAAAGCAGACCAAGGGGGAACTGAGTGAGCAGGCAAGAGGAGAGTCTGCCTTGGTGACATTGGAGAGGAGCTCAGGTAAGTGGCTTTTGGAGGGGCGGGAGAGGGGGTTGTGCTGTGAGCTGGTTGGGCTTAAGTATCCCAGTGTCTATTGGTGGGTGGTGATGGTTTTTGCTGGTGCGGAGTGCAGTACTGTTGGGAATTGTGAATTGAATATTTTGTTGCAGGTTGGCCTTTGAGGGCTGATTGTGCTGAAGGCAAGGCTTTGAGCTGGGCCTTTTTATTAGAACCACCAGCCATACAACAAAGACACCCAAGGTCCTCCAGGGTTTCCTAGGGTAAGTGTGGCTTTCAGAGGGCTGTGTCAAAAGCTCGTTTGGCTAAGTATCCAAATATCCATCAGTGGATGGTGTACGTTGTTGTTGGTTGCAGAAACTGTTTCAAAATGGTGAATTGAGTGCTGTTGCAGGTAGGCCTTGTAGGGCTGATTGAATTGGAGGCAAGGCTTAGAGATGGGCCTCCTGCTTAGGCAACAGCGCCATGGAGTGAGCAGCCAACAGGAGATTCTACCTGAGGAACCCTGGGGAGGAGTCTGGGTAAGTATGGCTTTTGGGGTGGGGGGGCTGCACTGTGAGATGTTTGGACTAAGTATCAAAGTGCCACTAGAGGCATTTTTAAAATACTGGTATCCCACTACCTATTGTCCAAGAGTCATTGAGTTTCTCTGAAAGGACCTTGTCCGCTTGGAGCACTCCATGAGGAGGATGGTCAAGTTGCCCCACTGGTTGTTTAAGCACATCAGAAGCAGGAAACCTGCTAAACATTTTGCTGTTCCTTTTTGAGTATTTGGCTGGTGTTTGTCAAACTCCTTTTTGGCTTTTCTCCCATTTTGACACGTAATTGGATAGTTTATGCTCCTTTCTATTTTTATCGCTAGGATTAACTCCTTCCCACCCCCTTTTTTTCCCCAAGAATGCTTTTTCTCTCACCCACCAAGTAAGAAGGCAGGAAAGTCATGGTGGCGTTGTCTTCCTGTGTCTTTTAACTTGGGGTATCCATGTCAGTTGGGTCTTGCTTAAAGCCTCTTCAAAAAGGTTTCCATGCAGCTTGCAGGGATTCTACTTTTGCCACTATACCTTGGTTAAATAGAAATTAAAAATCATCTTGTTCTTGTGTAGTTCCTATTTCTGAAATGGAATGAGTGTTGGGTTTCTGAGGGGTTTTTTCCCCACTGCAGGGATGTTAAATTTTCTTGCTGTAGTGGTCACCATTCCAAGTGATCCTGTTCCCTCTTAAACCAGATCCTGTGTGCCACTTAGGACTAAGTCAAGAACTGCCCCTCCCCTTTTGACTTCCAGAATCAGTTGCTCCAAGCAGCAGTCATTTAAGGTATGAAGGAATGTTATCTGTGTTAATCACTGTCCTGCATGTAGCCAGTCAATATGGGGAAGAGTAGACATCCCCCCCCCACTATTATTGATGTGTTAATTTTAATAGCTTCACTAATCTCCCTTAGCATTTCATAGTCACTATGAAATGCTATCCTGGTCAGGTGTGGTCAATAATAGATCCCTAGGCCTATGTTCTTAGAGCATGGAATTACTCCCATGGAGATTCTGTGGAACACTTTGGTTTGTTGAAGATGTTTACTTCATTTGATTCTGCATTTTCTTTCACGTCTCTAGAATGACATCTGTCTGCTGGCAATGCTCCTCTTAATGCAACCTAATATGCCATTAGCCTTCTTGGCTACAAGGGCACACTGTTGACTCATACCTAGCTTCTCATCCACTGTAACCCCCAGGTCCTTCTTTACAGAACTGCTACTTAGCTGGTTGGTCCCCAGCCTGTAACAATGCTTGGGATTCTTCTGTCCCAAGTGCAGGCTTCTACACTTGTCCTTGTTGAATCTCATCAGATTTCTTGTAGCCTAATCCTCCAACTGTCTAAGTTGCTCTGGACCTTATCTCTGCCCTCAAACATGTCTACAGCTCCCCCAAGCTTAGCATCATCTGCGAACTTGCTGAGGGTGCAATCCATCCCCTCATCCAGGTAATTAATTAATAAAGGTATTGAACAAAACCAGTCCTAGAACTGAACCTTGGGGCCCTCCCCTAGAAACCAACCGCCATCCTGACATTGAGCTGTTGATCACTACCTGCTGGGCTCGGCCTCCTAACCAGCTTTGTCCATTTATCCAGTCCACATTCCCTTAACTTGCTGGCAAGAATATTGTGGGAGACTGTGTCAAGACTTGGTAAAATCAAGGTATATTACATCCACTGACTTTCCCATGTCCACAGAGCCAGTTATTTCATCATAGAAGCTAATCAGGTTGGTCAGCACAACTTGCCCTTGTGAATCCATGCTGATTATTCCTAATTACTTTCCTCTCTTCCAGGTGCCTCAAAATAGATTCCTTAAGGATCCCTTCCATGACTTTTCCAGGAACCAGGGTAAGACTGCCCAGCCTATAGGGCCCTGGATCATCCTTCTTCCCTTTTTTGAAGATGGGCACTACATTTGCCTTTTTCTAATCATACTATTTCAGAGTTCTGATTGATTTGTTTTTAAATGCAGGTGGCTTCTGATTTAACTATCTTGAATAAATTTTGTATCTGCTGACTTTGCTACAGCGTGACTTTTTTCCTCCAGATCATTTTTGAACAGGTTGAAGTACACTAGTCCCAATACAGACCCATGGCTGACATCACTATTTACTTGCTTCCATTCTCACCAGTTATTCCTAGACAGAAGAGAGTGAGCTGTACAGCCTAAGTACAGAGGCAGCTGGCTTTCTGATCAAGCAGTAGATGCCTACTTTAAGCTCCTGATTCAAATACATCTGTAGGTAGTTACAAGTAGTGGCCTCTATGGGGACTTACACACTTGCCATAGTGACACAGTGTGTTTTTGCCAGTGTAATAAAATCACCCATCACCAGGTGGTGCTTCAGTAGAAAGATTCTTGTACTAATGACCTAACTTTACCCACAATGCCTGTTAAATTGAACAAATAGGTGGCAGGGGGTAAGATTTTCACAACCCTTAGCAATGCAGCTAATTGATCTAATACTTAAGTGTAGTAAAAAACCACTATTTGATGCATTTGAACTTGGGACTACTGGAGCCTATTGTAGGAGCCCCTACTGCTTGAGCACAAAGCCAGCTCTCTGCTTAAGAATGAACAAGTTTTACAGGTTCTCATGCTGTAAATGGTCTAAGTGCTGCTACATGGGATAGTGACCTACAGGAGCTATGTGGGTTACATTAAGGAGCCGGGCTGGGCTTGGGGTGGTGGAGAGTCAGGGTCTAGCTGGGACATGAGCAAGGGGAAGGTGGGCAGGAAGTGAGGTACAAGAGGGGGTGGGGATGGAGGTGCAGGGGCTGGAGAGGGGCCTAATTGCCTAGGACACCTCCCAAAGGTATACAAATGGGGACAGATTAGGGATTTAAACATGGAGCAGGGGCAGGAGCTACAAGCAAGTTCATGCTGGGAGCACCCTATAAGTGAGCCATGCTCTTGCTGCACTACAAACCACATAGTATAGGATCCAGCCCACCAAACTCAGGGCCCCTTGCAGTAGGATAAGATGTGCTAGTGCCCCCTCTTCCCAACCTGGCTGGAGCAACAAACCTGGGAGCCCCTCCTCATACACACTGCTCCTCTGCACTAAAGGGACAGCAGGTCACCATGAGAGGCCAGCCTTTAATAGTGCAGAACAGCAGCAGTTTGTGCTGAGACCCAGTGAGAGCCAGGACTGAGCACTAACTATTCTTAACTAACCAAATAGTCAATGAAAATTCCATCAACTACTCAATTAGGCAATTAACTTCTACTTACCATCCTTATTCCAGTGATATCAACCTTTCATATTTACCCACTGTGCTGTAAATGAGGTAAGTAGGTATAGCTAGCCCATCATATGCATGGAATAAAAAGAGACTCTGTTCACAGAAGAGACTCTGTTCACAGATGGTCAGTTCACATGGAGAAGATACATTATATTTTAAAAATATAATGTAACAGGATCCAAAGGCATGCACAGATTAAAACCTCAGTCCTGTGCTCTCTAAAGACAAGTGGTCTTTATGAAAGGCCTTGAGATTGAGGGCAAAGGCAAATTAGGGGAGGTGTACTCTGACGGTGGCATAGGTAGAAAACCTGTGCATTATGCTTGCACCTCTTATCTCAGGATCACAGAGCACTTTAAAAACATTCATTCACCATCAAACCCCTCTGCAAGGAAAGTAATTTCACTGTTCAAAAGGTATTTTTTTAGCACCCAACAGAGCATTAGCATCCAGGTGCTTTACAGAGTTAGGCTATCATTGAGTAGCTGAGAATTTGATTTGAGGGATGAGTATATTTATCTAATACCCCAACCACTGCTGCAGTCAGCAAACACTTGTATCCAAACTGCCATCATACAATCAAAATAACATTGGCAATTTGCCCCCATTTGCAGGTAAGTAGAGAGCATTTATATGACTTGCCTGAAGTCACATTGATCTTGATATACAGGCCATTGCAGAAAGTAGTTGGTCCAGGCCCTAAGTGAGTTAGATGCTGAGGTGGTAACAGAGCAGGCAACTGGCAAGAAAGGCCGCCTCATTGTTTAGCTAGATCCACAACTTAGAGAATATATATAATGTGATTCAGCTCACTGCACAGTAACTGTTTTGAAGTAACAATGCTGCTTGCTGTAGCTTTAGAATAGTGGTTTTTATTTGCAGAGCCCTTTGGAAAACTGTGTACAGAGATGAATTTTGGTCAGTCAGTTTTCAGTGTAAGTTGTTCCTGGACGCTTAGACATAGTCTACCAAACCAGTTGAAAATCATTGCTTTAGAGGATAACAGAAGTTACTTTGGCCTTGGGCTTTTCATTGACCACCCATCCCTGGCCTTGAACTGGAAAGAGAACCACAATGGTTTTACAGTTCTGTTTTCAAGTGTTTGGAGACAATCTCATCATAACTTTTCCGCCTCTTAACTGTGTATGTCAGGGCTTTAGAGTATTCAGTCAGCAGAGTCTCCCAGTAACAAGAGACATCCTCCATCTGCAAGTGGTCCTTGATGAACTGGCGCCCCCTGGAGAAAAAGTGACAGCTCAGTCAGTTTGCTCCTGTTGTAAGAGGAAAAACCCTTGGACTGTGCTTTAATATCAGTGTTCTTAAAAAAATTTTAAATGTGGAAACAAATTTGGATTTATAGTTCCATATGCCATTTATGACTAATTCATTACCATGAGCAGCTGCAAAGACTAATTATTCACCAGACAGGTAACACCCAGAGATTGGCATGCAAGCACCCCCAAACTGCCCCATCAAAGGGTCCTGTTTAGCATTTAGTGGTGGCGGCAACATTTTTGTCAAATAGATATTTGTTCACTGAAGCTAACTCGTTTCATACAGTGAACAAAAGTTACCAACATCTGATACTTCTACTGACATGGCTCAGATTTACCCCAGAGGCCTACAAGTGAAAAGTTCAGTTATCCTGTTTATCAATACCCTGAGCTCACCACTCTTCCTGCTTTCATTGCTCAAGATAAATACATTGTGCACTGTTATCACCAAGCTATCCTTGACATATCTCTTTTGAATGCTGAATGGTAGAAAAAGTATTGGAGGATGGGTGTTGACTATCAGGAAGAATACAGAATTTACCTCTCTGAAATTTCTTGTGCTACATCATCATTTTCCTTCACAAACTGCAACAGCTCCCTAAAAGGAAAAATTGCATGTAAATATTGAGTCCATGCATAATACTGCACACCCAGAAAATGAGTTGACAGAACTAGATTTGGGGATGTTAAAGCCGAACATGCCATTGGTGCTGCTGCTGTCGTAACAAAGCACACTTTCATACCAGTCCTGTGGGAGGGGAGGAATTCAGGCAAGGTCAGAATTGACAGCTGATGAACATTTGGGACCATTAAGAGCTAAGATAACAGCTTTGCTTTTTACTCTGCAAGTCAGAAATGCTATGGAGTTGTCTCACTTTTGACTTCCAACCCTCAGTTCAAGGTCTGTTGAACATGGGGCATCCTCCTGGCCCAGATCTCAGAATAGGTAAGGCATAAGCCAAAAGATTCAACAATAGGTCTTGCTAGAAGAATGTCAACATTGATTGTGTCTCTCTAATGAGCCCAATAATATGACTCTAAATCATTTCCTATATGACTGAGAATTTTGTATTTTACAAAGAAAGGAGAATGACACACACGCCCACATGCTGTCTCGTATTCAGTGCACCCAAGATAGGACAAATACGTGGCATTTTGCTGATCCTTTAGAGAGGGGATGTATCTCAATATTACTCAAGCCTTGATCATACCTTGAGTAGAATGGGTAGCATACAGCTCACTGCATGAAATACTCTATTATCAGTGGTGCACAGCCCATAGGTTGTGATCCCCAAGGGGGGTCACAAATGTCTTTCCGGGGTGGGTCACAATGCTTAGATCTGGCATGGGGCTGGGTGGGGCCTGGCCGTTGACAGCCCCCGCAGTGCGGCACCTAGATCTGGCTGGCCAGGGCCTGGGCCTGGCAGTTGGCAGCCCCTGCAGCGTGGGAGTCACAGATAAAAAAAGGTTGCGCACCACTGCTCTACATAACACACTTAAGATCACTGAGCCATTCTAACAGAATCAGCTGTAGTCTCCCACCTGACATCAGAGAGATCTGGTTTGACTGGAATGTAATGAACCCAAGGCTTCAGCTGTGAGTAGAAGAACTCCAGCCACTCTTCCCCTACATGAAAAACTAATGAGCCACACAAGAAGAGGTGTTTGAAGCGGAAACTGGCTGCTACACCCCGGAAATTAAACAGGTATCTGTAAAAAGAGAGGCAAAGAGACACTTGATTTTGTACTGGCATTCCCTGTCCATTAAACCATAGCTATAGATTTTTTTTAATCACTTTTTTTAAAATGTTGGTTGCTTTATAAAATCTGAAATGCTATGTGTCCTCCCCTCAGATGAAAACCTCTGTGTCGCGAGGCTAGGTTCTAACAAACAACTTTGCATTTTCCATCCCCTCTGCTTCTGACGTAGGAATTCGTAAGAACAGAGACACATCATCTGCTAAGGCCAGATTTCAGGTTCTTTATTTCCCTGTTTACATTTGATGGCGTCATGATTCCATACTAGGTCAAAAGCTGCATTTCTTATGCCGTGGTTAGCAATATTAACAACTGTAAAAAACCCTGAACTCTGGATTTGGCAGGGAAGTGAAAAAGACAACCTATCTTTAAAACACTTTTGTTTAAAACCACCAGGAGACATTTTCCACCTTACATGTATGTATTAGTGGTTTAGGATCATAAGAAAGATTATTGGAGTTAGTTTCCACAGAACCCTTTAGTTCTCCTTGAATTCCAGACTTGGCAGACTCTTGAAACTGGTGTTTAAAAAGACCAAACTCAGCTCTCCTGAATCAACCACATAAGAGCAGAAATCTGCCTGCCTGAATGGATTCAATTGCAGGATTGGGACCTTAATGTTTCTAGGCTTGTTTGTTTCAATGCATCATTTTATATTAACAGACTGACAAGATTTTAGCAGCTCATGGCCAAAAACCTCACTTGTATTTGCAGTGATCTACTAGAGGAATTTCCGTTGCAGGTGGTTTCCCAAGAGTATCCTTAAAAAAAATTGAGAGAAAATATTAAAACATTAATTCAGTACAATTTATTTTCTGATCATATTTACAAAGTTTCTTTTCAACAAACCATAAATACAACTGAAGACTCAAAAGAATTTCTGGTCATGAGAAAACCCTTCCAGTTCGACTTCTAATTATATTAGCATTTTTTGAGGGCCTCTCTCCTCTTTACCCAAGAAATATTCTCCCATCCTTTATAAATACTCTAAGAAACAAGTCTTTTACTTAATGGCTATAAAGAGGGGTACGGCTTTACCAATTCTTTTTCCTCAGAGTACTAGAACGGGGAAGGACCCCGAGAGGTCATCAAGGCTAGTCCACTTCCCTCACAGCAGGACCAACCACCATCTAGTTCAGTGGTGCGCAACCTTTTTTCAACCATCACCCCCCCTGTATTTTACTCATGTCATGACCCCCAAGATAATGTGAGCAGTGCTTAGGTCCAGCCAGCCAGGGGAAGGACCTGGCCATTGGCGGCCCCGCAGTGCAGTACGGCACTTAGAACCCGCCAGCTGGGGCTTATGGCAACACCTCCCCCAGGAAGACATCCGCAACCCCCTTGGAAGTCATGACCCACACGTTGCGCACCACTGATCTAGATCAGGTCAGCAACCTTTTCAAACCAAAGAGTCAAACTACATAAAAAAAAAAAATCAGAACAAGTTGTCAACAAAGAGCCATATAAGAATGCCCATTTGCATGACTGAAAATATAGAACTTAATATTATTGATAATTGACAATGAACATAAGAACGGCCGTACTGGGTCAGACAAAAGGCTGTCTGCCGACAGTGGCCAACACCAGGTGCCCCAGAGAGGGTGGACCGAAGATGATGATCAAGCAATATGTCTCCTACCATCCTTCTTCAGCCTCTGACAAACAGAGGCCAAGGACACCATTTTATCCCCTGGCTAATAGCCTTTTATGGACCTAACCTCCATGAA